GCAACTTTGTTCGATATCTATGTCCATTATGAAATTCGCAATACACGCTAGGTATATTATGATAGATGGCCAAGTGTGCAACCTTATATTGAGTAACCTTAAGGTATTTGGGCGTATGTCCACCATTGTAATTATATTGTACAAAATGCGTAAATAACTGTCTCATTGGCCGAGTGATCGCAAATGCTACTGCCGGGCAAGGGGTCTCGGGTTCGATTCCCGGGCCGGGAAATTGTTACTGAGTTTTTAAAAATACTTAGTAGTGGCACGGAGTATGAAAATGTGCCCGTTATATGGAAATATGCTCACCCCCTATTACATGGGACTCATAACATTAATAGTGGAAAGAGGGTGTAACATTTAACAGTGCCATTAAACTGTCAAACACCAAGCTGTCACTGGTGACCGCAACCTATTGTTCTATAATTGTGTCTACAATGACGGTACTCAACGAATTAAGTGCCGTAATGTGCACCTCTGCCTGCTCCTTCGGGGATAAAAGGCGTGATATTATATATGTATGTATGTACTTATGTACCTAAGTAAAATGTGTAAATAAATAAAGACGAAACAAATATATAATAAATAATTTATTTTCACAGCACATCTTTGATAACTATGTTAGCCTTTACACTGAGAATAACCCTTAAATTAATACATTTTGAGTAATGATTTTTATACAAGGATGAATGAAAGAATATAATGTGTCAACCCAATCGGGAACACGTTGGTCAAATGAGGATGATGATGATGATGAGTTTGTAGACTAGTTTATCCAAGAGCCTTGGCTTGTCCAAGCACGCCGATGGCTGGTCCAGCCTTGATGATACCGTCTCTGACGTTGCGTCCCACTTTCTCCTGTAAGAAATAAAGGATATTTTTATAATAAATAAGAAATATATCGTTAGTATGTTCGGCAACCGGCTGCCGCACACTGTGTCCCGGGTTCGATTCCCACACGGAACAACTCTGTGTGATCCACGAATTGTTGTTTCGTGTCTGTGTGTCATGTGTATGTGAACTTGTATGTTTGTAAACGCACCCACGATACAGGACAAAATCCTAGTATGGGACAACGTTTTAAAAACAAAGATGTATTAATTAAAAATAAAGGTATATTCACGTAAACATACTGCGACCACGTCGCGCGACATCGCCCCGACCGTGCATGTAACTCATTTCCAGATTCCGTGATTCAGTAGCACGGAGTCTGGAACTGTGCCCGGTATATGGCAATAGGCTCACCCCCTATTACATGGGACTCATAACATAAATAGTGAAAAGTGAGTGTTACATTGTAAAGTGGCATTAAGTGCCATGATAGGCATTTTTTGGAGACGGTTAGCTGATGGTACAAATCCCACACTCCCTAGTGTTTCTCTCCAAGTACCTAGGCGCCTTTAGAAGGTTTCCCCCGTCATCAAAAAAAGGAGGCTACTTTGTTTATCCAGGTTGTGGTCAATTGCTTGTTAAAACTTATATTGGGCAAATTTCTAGTACGATCAGGGTGGAGCATGATGAAATGAGTACTCACGATCTTCTTGAAGACCTTCCACCTCGGTTCTGGCGCGGCGCTGACGGCGCTCAGCGCGACCAGACACGCGAACACGAACAAGAACATACGAGAGAACTTCATATTTACTATTATTTTGATTTACTTTGAAATCTTTACTATCTTGCTACCACAAGCGCTCGTCTTCGAATGATGTTCCATAACCAACACGACATTTTATATACTATTTCAACCCAAGATATTATTTGCGGTTCACAAACAAAACGTCATATGAATATAGACTCTAGTTAACCGTAATAAAGATTGGTTTGTTTGGTTTCATGTGCCTTGGTAAACTTGTATCGATAACGGTCCATGTCATATTGACTTTAGGGGACTCCCTGTACCACGAGCTTTATTAAGTCCCTGAACAAGTTGATATTATTATGATTCGCTAAACTGGGAATTGAGATATGACGGTTCTGTTCATTAATAATTATAAAAATGAATCGCTATGTATATCTCGAGGACAGCTAACCAATTTCGCTAATGTTTTTTTTGGGTGCCTTATTGTTAGAGGAATGTTCTAATGTAAAACAAAATTACAAAGATAGCAAAAATTTTAAGGCGTTGTATATTATATATAACAAAATATGTCATAGATTATTATTATTATCATAGGAAAATTATGACGAATAAAGAGATTCACTAATGTTAAAATCTTTGTGTTATTTTTTTTTTTGGGAACTGGATTATGCGACAAGTGAAACAAGTGAAACAAGTGAATTTATTTCTGCAAATAGGCTACAAGGCACTTTTACACGTCAATTTTATCAAGCGAACGATGAGGTCGACATTTCCTAACTGACTACTCTGAGAAGAAATGCCGAAACAAACTCAGAGGTCTGTCTCTTTTAAAGTCCAGACAATATTTATAATAGATTATGTGTGAGAAACGTGCAAGTTCTTTCTGTAGTGGCCTTTTGAGGAAAGAACTACAACAGTTTGACAAACAAGTAGACAAATCACCTAATGGTAAGAATTCAGCAATCAGTTACAAATGCGTTGCTGATACACAAACAAATTGACGAACTAAATAGATTTTTAATTTTCATACTCTGCCCGTTATTTAATATTCAATCAAGCAATGTTTTTCCTGCATGCCTCAATGTACGGAAGTGATCTTGAATGAGTCATTACTTTGGTTCGGGTCATTCCCCTGGCTTGAAAGAGAATTCTCGGCCATTTACGATAAAGTATGATTGTATGTTTATATATGTATTTTTTTCATTTCTTACATAGTTTTGTAATATGCAATACATTTTAACCTTTTTGCTGTTGGACATAGCCAACAAGAAATTTATCTAGTCTCTATTAGGTATTTATACTATACTAACTGTGCCCGCGACTTCGTTCGCGTAGAATAGTGACTATGAGCAGCGTTTTTTTTTTTAAATATATACTTATTTTTATTTTAGATTTGGATCATAATCACAGTCATTTTGGGTAGCTAAAAAACCTACTTTACTGTAATGCTTCTCTATATACAATATTAGACGTATGGCCATCGGGGGTGAAAGCATACAGGCTGCTGGGAATGCTAACACGGGACAGAGACACATACAATTGACCGTGCGAAAAACAGCTGATACTTAGATCTATACCCACAACTTTTAGAGTTTGACCTTGAGCTTTATTAATTGTCATGGCGAAACATAGGCTCACTGGAAACTGAATTCGTTTAAAATTAAACGGAAAATTTTTTGGAATGACGGGAATCTGAGGAATAAAACCACTATCACCTTTTCCGCACCCTGATAAATATATATATATATATATATAAGCCATTTCTAAGATTAGCGTGAACAGACAGACAAAAAAAAGTTAGTTACATTTTTGGGTTCGAAATCGACATAACAATAGCCCCTGCTATTTTTTTTATTTTTATTTTCAATGTACAGACAGCACTTTTCTACAATTTTATTATATGTATAGATATAGATAGATAGTGTTCGACGTGATTCTTTAATTTGACGTAACTTTTTTATTTTTGAACCGATTGACATGAAACAAACACTAAAGCATAACTGAAGCATACCACAATATATTCGTGAAAACCGCATCCAACTCGGATGAGCCATTTCTGAGATTAGCGTGAACAGACAAACAGACAAACAGACAAAAAAAAAGTTAGTTACATTTTTGGGTTCGACGTCGACATAACAATAGCCCCTGCTATTTTTTTTATTTTTATTTTCAATGTACAGACAGCACTTTTCTACAATTTTATTATATGTATAGATAATTTTCACATATATTTCATATAATGAAAATTATATTTGTTTTACATATTTGTTAACTCGTCGAGTACCGGTTTTGTAGACACAATTATAGAACAATAGGTTGCGGTCACCGGTGACCGCTTGGTGTTTGACAGTTATTGTATTTGTTATATGAAAAATATATTTACGTATAATTTTATCTAGTTTATTGTCTTTGTTATATTTTATTTATGATGCATCGTTCCTGGTTCTGAATAAGTGTTTTTACTTTCTTTAGTTATTTTCGTAAATTATGTAGTTATGGTGTCAACTAGGGCCGTCTCAATCCGGGCTACTGCTGAAAATCAGCGTTGCGACTCGAGCAATCGCTCGGGTCACGGCATTTCACGGTCTGAGCACTGGCTTTTTTGAACCGTGTATATTGTTATTTTTTTTAACTATTTTTTTGGATTATTTCTGTAACGGTGCAAATAATCAGATTTTCTTTTTTTTTCTTTTTTTTTAGGTTAGGTACTCTTGGGCAAAATAACTCGGGAACCGTTTAGAATGTTTTTTTTTTAAGTTTCCCCACACAAGGCTTTTCTCTTGTATCGTGAGTGTGTTTACAAACATGCGAGTTCACATGGCACTCAGACCCGAAACAGCAATTTGTGGATCACACAAAAATTTGTCAGGAGCTAAAGCGTGTGTCAAATACGTAATTAGTATTACTCATTCAATACTAAAGAATTTACAACCGATTCTACTTCGTAGTAAAACAATGCTTTAATTATTGTTGTAATCTCTCGGGGTCGCCCCTTCGATGCCCTGTGCGTGAGTCGTGCCTCGTTGGCTGAGTCATTACAAGTTCGACGGCCGGGCAAGGGGTCTCGGGTTCGATTCCCGGATGAAGGCAAAGTATGAATGGGTTTATAAAAAAGGGGTCTCGGGATCGACTCTGGGGTCGGGCTAAGTATAACTGGGTTTTTCAAAAAAAAAAAATCTCAGTAGTAGCACGGAGTCTGGAATTGTGCCCGGTATATGGCAATAGGCTCACCTCCTATACAGGGGTCTTATAACATAAATAGTGAAAAGTGGGTGTTACATTGTACAGTGCCGTAATGTACACCTCTGCCTACTCCTTCGGTGATAAAAGGCGTGATGTTATATGTGTGTAACGTGAAAAGGTCAAACAGAAGTGTACTAAATACTAATTATAATATGGTTACAGTTTATCTTATTTTCGACTTTTTAAAGAGCGTTCCGTAACATGAACGCGAACTGGTTGGTGGCCAATAGGGTAGATGACTAATTTTTATTTTAATGTCCGTCTGGTAGATTATTTAAAAACATTAGACACGTATTTTTTATTTTCTTACGGACACGGATACTTTCGACGATATATTGATTTGAAATATCGCGTGACGTCACTTTTGTGTACGTTTTATACTCAAAAGTGTCGTAGGTAGCTCCCACTCCTTAACTTTGATTCGTTTTATTTAAGTATACGATATACGACAAAATAAAAAATACGTGTCTAATATTTTTTCATTGTCTAACTGACGGACTAATTAGATTTTTAATTTTTGTACCCTGTCATCATCCCTGTAGCATACTGGCAGATTTTCAAACTTACAGCACACAGTTCAAACGAAGACGCATCATCGACTAACCAGTTTATCGTGGTCTCGTTTTCTGTGATACTTCCGCATATTCGAATATCAGTTTATACTGGCTATTGCATAGGTTGATATTTTTAGTGGCATTGTCATATAAGATGGTACTCTTTATCTTTATACTCCATTAACCCACTCCGGTACTTCACCGCAAAACAAAAGATGATTCATTGTACAGATAACGGCAGATCAAGCTTCTCCAACCTATCAAACAAATTTAAACCTATTTTCCTGAACGATAAAGTCTAAAATCGGGCAACAAAATTGGATATTTTAGTGTGGATTGATCTGCACGCCTAGTGTTCAAATATTTAAACGATGTTTATAAAAATGAGGAAAAATATTTCGGTTGTTTACATTCTGTCTGTCTGAAGTGATAATTGTTCATTGTTTATTTAACTTTTTAGTTTACTTGGTGAGATTAGCTTTAAATGGTTCTTTCCCGCGATAAATTGTGATCTTAATGGTAAACACATATGCTAGCTAAGGAGGAGGCGGGGCGCGTGAGAATCGCTAAGGACACTCCGGGCGTCGTGGTCGCGGGACGATCTCCGGCCACCGTAAGCACGGGTCTGCGGACGGCGAGCATGGGTGGCTCCCCGTCTGACCAGAAACAGACCCGAGCGTACGGCGCGTCGCGTTCCGCGCGCATCTCAAAGAGCCATCAGACAACCACGGATGGGGCCCAATAAGGCTGATGGCAATACGAAGCTGCGGTGGACTTAACGGGTTGCCGGGGCCCCGGCTCAAAGTACAGGAGTAGGAAGGGGGTGCTTTTTAGTCAGTAAGAGTCTAACACTCCCTCCCGCCTCACCCGGGCGGGTGAAGTCATTCAATGATTTTCCCCCCTTAAAAAAATAAAAATAAAAATGGTGAACACATGGTGACTGCTCAGTTGGCGCGGTGGCTGGGCAATCGGCTGCCGTGCAACGTGTCGCGGGTTCGATTGCCACACGAAGTAACTATTTGTGTGATCCACAAATTGTGGTTAAATATCCTAGTGTATATAATTTTAAAAATATATATTAGTGAATTGGCGACCTTAGTTTTGTACAACAAGGCATGTTGCTTGGTATGCAGGCCAGGACGTTGAAAAAGGGTGTCCGTAATGTCACATAGAAGTGGTTGAAGCACCGAAATGTCAGTGGTGTATTCATGTGTGCGAGTACTTGCATTACCGTAATGTATAAGTACAATGACTGCCTCG